TGTATGACAGCTATATGCTATAGTGGTCCGATATCGGCCGTTCCGACAAATGAGCAGCTTCTTGGTAAGAAAAAGACGTGTTCAAAGGTTCAGATCGATATCTCAAAAACTGAGGGACTAGTTCGCGTATATACAGACGGACGGACAGACGGACATGGCTAAATCAACTCAGCTCGTCACGGTGATCATTTATATATATACTTTATATGGTCTCCGCCGTTTACTGTTGGATGTTACAAACTTCGTGGCAAAATTAATATACCCTGTTCAGGGTATAAAAATGGCTGATGATGATAAAGCACAAGGCACACTCGCAGAAGCTACACGCTCTAAGCAGGGTCAAAGCAAAAAAGAACCAAAGACAATTCACTGTCAAGGTTCATAACTGAAAGTGACAGTTTTATTAGATACTGCACACTGTTTCGGCTTCGCCTATTAAAGACAATACAGAATCAGTTCTAAATTTAAAAATTCAAAGCATAGATAATATATGGGCACGCGTTCTGGCAGCGTACGATACAATACTATATACTGACGACGCTGAACTCACAGAAAACATTAAAGCTTCGGCGTCAGCCAAATATGAAAACTGCCTCGATCAGTACCAAACTATGAAGGCAATGATATTAGACCAAATAAATTTATTAAGACCATGTAGAGCCACTACTCCTCCTCCGAGAGTAGTTACAACTCCAAAAGAAAGCCCAGATACAGGTATATTTTTAAAAGTACCAGCTTGTGATACGGAAATTTTTTATAGATGTTATGATCAATGGCCGTACCATCTCAAAAGGGGAAGCAGGCAGTATTATCAAGCGTTTCGCTTTCAATGACGAACATTTTAATTTGACTTGAGATGCACCGGTCGAAAGATACGAAAACGAAAGAGTATTGGTAGATAACTAAATAACTACTTTAATGAATTTACCAAAAATTCAACAAGAAACCAGCCAAGAATTTCAAAAACATACTCGAGAGTGACTAATTGCTTATCTGTGTTAGAAACACAAACTGTATTCACAGAATCGTGGGACCCTATCCTAGTAAATATTTGCGCAGCGACACTACCTGATGCTGCTTTGCTACGATGGGAGCAATCACTAGTGGCAAGAAAGAAATCGCCAAAATGGCATCAAATGAAAGAATTTTTAACAACTCAGTACGAAATAGCTGAGCGAGTAGACAAAAAGGTAGTTAAGCCAAAAGGTTATCAAAATAACTCACAATATAGTAGACACGTTAATAGAAGCAAAACATTCTTGTCAAATCAAACAAATCATTGGCATTATGTGAAATCTGTAAAGGAGGACAAAATATATGATCTTGCGAGAAATTTAAAAAAATGTCCGTTTCAGATAGGAACAATCTTGTCCGACAACATAAACTTTGCATCAACTGTCTGTCCAATTCTTACGGAACAAAAGACTGTGAAAGCAAATTCAGCTGTGTGTACTGTCAACGGCGACATCACTCAGTGCTTCACATAACCAATTTTACAAATATGAAGCAAAATCATATACATAAAACCACGGGCCTTGTCGCGATAACCAAATCAGGTAATCCCGAATCCCGAAAAAAAGAGGAACACCCATGTTGCTCAAAAGCAGCAAAAATGAAAGCAAAATTCTTTTACCCACAGCGGTCATTTCTATAGAACATAAAGGAGATTTATTCAAATTAAGAGCATTAATAGATCAAGGCTCTCAAAGATCCTTTATATCATCAAAAGTTCAGAATCGGCTAAAATTACCCGTTAAAAATTTCAGTTTTCAAATTTCAGGAATGGGCGGAAGAATTATACAAAATTTAAATAAAGTTTGCCCAATAACCATAGTCTCTCCAAACGCGAATATATGAATAGATGCACAAGCCATTGTTCTACCGCAGCTCACTAATTTGCTTCCAAGCTATGAAGTAAATAAAAAACAGTGGGAAAAATGCTCATATCTCAAATTAGCAGATCCCAACTGCCATACCCCATCACAAATCGACATATTATTGGGCAGCGACTTAATACCGCAAATAATTCTTGAAGGTATAGAGAAAATCTCTACTTAATTGTTAACCCAAAACACAATCTTTGGATGGATATTTAAGTGTCCAAGTCACAGAAAAAATTAATTCCTTCAGAATTAACAACCTTCAGAAGAAGACCTGGAATGCGAAGCCTATTACAACTTCACAACAACAAGAAACGAACATGGTCGTTATGTTGTGCGACTCCCATTCAAGCCCACCTTTCCAGAAACTATAGCTCTAGGCCAAGTACGAGTTGTTTTTAATCCCTCAAAATGTACGAGCTCAGGCAAATCAGTCAATGATGTACTATACACAAGACCAACATTACAACTTGATCTCATGCTGCTAATACTAAATTGGCGCATGTTTAAATATGTTTTTAATGGAGATGTAGAGAAAATGTATAGGCAAAGTTTAGTACATAAAGATGACCAAGATTTCCAACGTATAGTCTTCCGAAAATCAAGTAAAAGTCCAATCAGCGAATACAAACTTAAAACAGTTACCTTTGGCATCAATTGTGCACCCTATTTAGCCATTAGGACATTACATGAAGTGGCAAAAACCTGCTGAACAAATTTGCCTTTAGCAACTTCTGTGCTACAAAAACAAACATACGTTGACGATATTCTATCAGGTAGCCACAGTCTCTCATTAGCGTGCGAATCACTATCTCAAGTGATCAAAGCACTAAATTCAGCCGGGTTCCCCCTAAAGAAAATTACATCAAATCATCCTGAGATAATAAAAAACATAAAATAGATGCAAACTTCCTTAAATTTGAAAAGGCCAGTACAAATCAATTCTTATATATAATTGAGTCAATATCTGCAATATCCGCCATAGCCAAACGTCAAATACTTTCCTCGGTGGCAAAACTTTTCGACCGCGCAGGATGGCTTTCGCCAATAATGATTCAAGCAAAAATCCGCATTCAAGAACTGTGACAAGATGGCACTGAATGGGATGAGCAAGTAAAACCCATACGTTTAACAAAGTGGGTTCCATTTGCTAACAATCTACATACCATCTCGGAAATTCGAATTCCTCGATGGGTAAATTTCTCACCTGACTATAATGTAGAATTACATGGCTTCTGTGATGTCTTTGAAAAGGCCTATTGTGCAACAGTTTACGTACGCACTGAATATGATAACAAAATATCTTCACGTCTTTTGGTAGCCAAAGCCAAAGTTGCTCCGCTGAAGACATTAGGCCTGCCACGGCTCGAACTGAATGGTGCACTTCTGTTAGCAAAACTAGTTTCAATTGTCCAAACCCATCTGAAATTAACCAATCACAAAATGTACCTTTGGTCAGACTCAGAAATAGTTTTAGCATGGTTAGAAAAGCCACCATATACCTGGAATACTTATGTACCTAAGTATTATATGTATATATATATATATATATATGTAACTATATTCATTTTTAATAGCGTTTGTTAGAGTTAGATTTGCATGTACGGATTATAAAACGATAGTATTTCGAGTTAAACGAATTAATTGTCGGTTTTGATTTTGTTTATGCGCTTGTCTTGGCGGGGTTTGTGTAATCGGTTCTTCGGTGTTCGGAAGAAAACACAATTTACTAATGGTCGAGTTAGTATACCAGTTTGTGTTCGTACGTCTATTATACTTATATGACCATCTCGTCACCGATGGACCTTTTCAATGCGGCCTAGACGCCAATCGGTTGGAGGAAGGCATTCATCATGTATGATGACACATTCCCCCGTATTTGGTTCCTTCTGGATCGTTTTCTACCGATGTCTCTTATGGAGATCTTTAAGGTAATCTTCCCTCCATCTATGGCTGAATTCATGATGAAGTATCTTAATTTATTCCCATCGGTCTATTAAATTGAATGAGTCTCCTTCTGCCTCAGGTATGGCGAGAAGTGGAGCTCCACACTGTACACCTATACTATACACCCACACCTCAACCACCGTCTTTTCCATCACCCGAATGATCAAAAGGGCCCAGTCAGACCAGGATGGGCTCTTTTTTCGATTTCATCCATGACCTATAAGGTTCTATATTAAAACGTTCCCGCAGAGTGGTTTTCGTCGCATTTTACTAAAAGTGAAAGTGAACTTATATTTTAAATTACAATATTTACAAACAAAAATATAAGAAATTGAACTTGTTATAATATTAAATTATAAAGTATTTTCAAAATATCTATTGTGTTAACATGAAATTAATTAAAGAGTTTTTAACTAAAAGTAGTGCAAGTGAGTATAACACCGCACCCAAGGTGAAAAAATAAGTGAAATCACCAGGCATCGCGTTTACTAAATTTTTCAGTTTCGTATGATCAAAATCTTCCCAAGCTTCAAGGGTGTCTTTGGGCTTTTTGTCTATAGATTTTCCGTGATATATACCCCAAAGGTTCTCCACCGGACTCAAATCAAGACTACACGCACTCTTTATAAGTGCGATATTGCCCTGATCAAACCATTTTAAAGACTCCTTAGAAACGTGAATGGCAGAGCTATCATGTTGAAAAATGGCGTCTTCAACCATTTTGTCATCCGAAAAATAATGCTTTAGAAGTGCCGCTGGAATTCAATTCTAATTTGCCATGAATTCTAAAAATACGCTGGCAAGGGGTTTTTGCAGTTGCGATATATAAATGTAAGACTATACTATTAATTACACCACTCTACAAATCTGAAGGAAAAATTTGCGACTGATGTGCTAAGAAGTCTGTGAGGTATTTGAGGTATCCTTATTATGAACTCGTTTTAAAAAATTTTCCATCACGCACAGCTATTTTTGTCATTTAAGTAAATAGTGGTGGTTTGACCCAACACAAAAATCCTACATGTTAGGAAATTTTTCCTATCGTTTTCGGTTTTAGCAACCCAAAATTAGCAAGAAACAGCCTCTAACATTACAGTCACAAAATGACTATAAACAAGTGTTATTAAATAATATTTATTTTGCCAAACATGTTTACAAATTATTTAATTCCAGGTCTACTAAAAGCTTTGGCTGGAAGGGTTTTTTCAACTTCTATTGACCGGTGCGGATTTGACTTTGCACAAAGTGGCAAGAGATATGAGGACTCTTCTGACAGTCGCAGATTTTTTGTAAACGTGGTCCTGTTCATTGTTTTTCCGTTTTCTTTTTGGTGTAAATGTTTTGCTCCCTCAGATTGTGATCTTCTTGCAGCAAGCACAGAGTGGCAATGTGCAGTTTATGTACCCAGTCCTATCTCATCGGAACACAAAAATCAGGGTAGTACGAAAGAGCGACTCAATACCAAAAAATTGGATAAGGACGAAGACATCTTCCTATCTCAGGTGTGTAATAAATGTTTTGAAGGACATATGTATGTTCAACTTAATGATTTAATATCAATTAACTATTCACCCAATAATCTAAAATATGCGACACATTTGATTTGGGGCACAATAGAGCTTTCCATTGAAATACCTCAGTTAATACTTTTTCTTTTTTAATATTAAATTTTTAAGGTAATATCTATATCGGTATAACAAAATAAGTCTTCAGCCTTACGATGGCATATTATCACAACAGAAATTTACTATCATGTTGAATATTTTTGTAGAAGGCTGCTGTAAAATTATAGGCATGACCCCGAATTTCAAAAAATGGCAAAAAAAAGCGTTATCGTTATATTTCAATGGGAAACTGCGCATTGAAATCAGAAGTACGGAATACGCTTACTATTATTTTTTAATGATGAACGTCAACACTTTTTGACGAGTTTGAACGTATTTGCATATGCGTCATTGATTAGTCACGGCTAAATACTGTTGTTGTTGTTGTAGCGAAAGAAAATAATCCTAGAGAAAAAAAGTTTATGAAGTTTGCAGACCTCCAGAAAAGTGTTTTTCGGACAGACAATTTCGATTTATGATTCAATTAATCTTTTTGGAAGAAAAATCGCGGAATGAAATCAAAGCTGCTGTATACGACGGCTCTTTCCCTACAAATGTGACCATTAATTGACGTAGAACTTTCTTTTTCGACAACAACTTCAAAGATATATATCTGTCAAGTTTGGGGTGAAAATAATGTAACCACTGATTTACTATCCTGAATTCAATAACTTATGACCGAAATCATTGGCTAGATAGCCTCGGACCATGAAAATGATGTAGAGTTGCAAAAACAGCTTGGTAGCATTGGATATTCGCTCCGCGAAACTTCGAAAAATTTTTCTTCAGGCTACAAATAATCCGCCGCACAAGCTACGAACCTCACTGTGAAATTAATGGTTAACAAATTTGTTTGGCAGGCAAGCGATAGCAAATCTTTAGCAGTTGTTGTAGTTATTAGTTAGTGGTTGTATTCAGTGTCAACGGTGTAAGGTAAGTTTACTCCAAAGCAGAATCAATCCTATTAACCGATTTGGGCATTTGCATATCGGCATTGTGGTTCCGATAGCGGAAGGCTAAAACGCTACGCAATCGCCAGATGCCATTCCGAATTCCAACATGGTAGCTCCAATTGCTGCCTAGGCAAATAATAGCATCGCATATTAATATCCTCCATGTTATGTCATAGGTGTTACATCTTATTCAACTTGGACTGTGCCTGACAAATAAAGACGATGGTATGGAACACCATTGCACTTTCCTGCCGAGCAACGCAGTAATCAATACGAAACAGAAACTACTGACGAAGCAAATAAATATATAATAATTATTAACTTGCAACGTTTTGCGAGAGTAAAAAAAGCAATTAAAGAACCGTTCTTTAAAATAATTTCAGATGATAAAATTATTTAAAACTTAAAATATAATACGCGGAGCGCCAATTTTTGAATTCTAAACGATTCCGAAAAAAAGTGTCTTGTGGCGTGGTTCTCCTTACTTATGATAAGTGAAATCCTCCTGAAATTACTACTACTACTTATACAATGAAGCGAAAAAAAAGATGAACTTAATATTACTGAAAATAATTTGAACCGCGTTCAGGAAAATACCAAACTATTCCGAATCACATCTACTGAAGACAATGCTGCTTTTAGTAATAATTAAACAAACCCCCTAAATAATGGAAAAAACTAGTAAAAGGAATAAAGGATAACAATAATAAAAAAGCGAATTTAAAGATAACAACAGCAACAACAATGTAAAGATAAATAAGTTTTAAAATTATTTGTAATTAAATTTATTATTTAATTAATAGATTGTAATTTTACGATTGTATTAATTACTTATTTAGCGAGCGTTGAATGAAATTAGTGAGTTCCATTTTAATTCTATCGAACTGGAGTACTATTACAGTTTCGGTCCATGTGTCCAGATGTGCTGCAAACAATTAGCCTAACAGTTTATTGTGAAGTATCGTGCAGCGTTTAGCTTTCAGTGTGGGAATGTAAATTAGCTTAGTCAAACAACGCATGAAGATGTGGAGGAGCTGCTCGTGTTAACTCCTCCCCTGCCAAATGAAGATCGCCCTCGTAGACCATCAATTACAGCTTGGAGATCATAATGCAGACGCTCCTTAATTCTCTTCTGATATAAATTGAGAAAAACATAGCAGGTGATTAAGGTGGCGTTGGTAATCATAGCTGAGAGGGTTGATTTCATCATTGCTTTCTCCTCAATTAATTCGACATCAGTTTCTAAGGTGTGCTTAGGGAGTACCGTGTCATAATTGTAAACCAAACTCGTGCGAGCTAAAACCGAATAATATTATATATGAGCATTGATTCTTATACCATGTTCCGACCAAAAATTTTAAGTGATTAGATTGCAGTTAATCTGTTCAGCAATGTAGACTGTCCTCAATGTCGTTTGGAGTTAACGAAATCATTAAACTATTCTTTCTACCTTATTTAAGTAAATATTTTAACATTTTTTGTTAAGATACTGTCGACGCAATACATTATATGTAGAATAATCGACAAGTAAACCGGTTCTTTGAAAAGGTTTAAAGGCTCCATTTCTTCTGTTTTTCAATTTATATAACTCTTTCGAATACCACGGACTTGTACTTTTACTTTTATTAACGATTACTATTGAAACATACTTTTTAAATTTCGCAATAATATTATTAAAATGCGGGACACTCAATTCAATATCACCATTAAAATTTGGTCATGTTATTGTAGAAAGTTCTCTATTTAACTTTTTAAAATTAGCATTTGCAAAATTGGGCCTCGTAAAGAAGCTAGAAGTTTGATGATTATTATCCCGTACATTGCCTATGATTTCGACAGATATTTCCAAAGCAGGGTGATACGAGTCCTCTGGTAGAACAAGAGGATAACACTGAATAACGGAACACTTTGAAGAGGTATCAATGTATACTAAATCTAAGCATATACCAAATTTATTCGGAATCAAATTAATTTGGTTCAGACCCAACTAGGATATTTTTTCCAAAAACTCATTAAGGTATGACCAATTGCAAATTGGTACGATATAGTCATCGAAAGCTTTCCACGAGGCACACGGTAAATTTAATTCTCCTAAAAAGATTATTGAATCTGCATTATTTGCTATCGAGGTTACATTATTTATTAAAGAAGCATGCTGCATATAGAACAGATAAGCCCGATGGGATGGTATATAAAATAGGGTTAAATAAGTAAAGCAAGTATTGACGTACATTTAAATTCAAATGAGTCAGTTCCCGGAAGAAGAAGCGATCTGACTCGCCTTTAATGTTACAGTTGGAGAAGTTACACGACATAATAAACAACAAAGAAGATTAAATGAAAAAGTAAGTAAAACAAAATCTAATATATACAAGTATATATAGTAAATAAGTTTATTAATATAATATTAATAATAATTAATACAATTTAAAACGAACGCAAAAAGACTAAAGACTATGCGGACAATCCCGCTTCGATTCAGGTTTGGAGCAAAACATCACGCGTGTCATTCGCCAGTTACCAGTCGAAAAGCTCGAATGAGTCATCGAAAATAGCACTCAACAAATAGACCATTTGAGACGTAGACGAGATAATCTTTAAAATATATATACCAAAGAATGTTCTTTCAAATGATAATAAACATTCCCCATCAAATTTTAATTTTTTGTGATTCTTTAAAAAAGTGAAGTACCTTGGAATGGATCACCCTTTATAATGTTTTTCGTTATTTTAACAAACCTTATGTCGTCAGTGTGTGAATAATTTATTTATGAATTGCTTGACAATATATTCTCGAGGATACTTGGGCAATGCCAAGGGGTAAGCAATAAGCAGGCCCTTCGCTGCCCCCAAAATGCTCTGATATATATATATGCTCTGATATAGATAGTGATTTTTGACTTTCCACTTGGCTTTAATCCGTAAAGGTTGATCAACATGTGTGATATTTAAAAAAAATTAAGTGGGCAAATTCTGATTTTTAAGTATATGGTATAGCGCTGAATATAAATAATTCCGATCCTCATGTTGACGTTTTCCACATCAAATCCAAATATTAAATTTAGCCTCTCCGGTTTAGTTTATATCACAAATAACGCGATAATTAAGTCATAACCTAATAAAATTCCAAACTTGGTTGTAATTCATTCACAATTTCGTCGAATAATGAGTGCTGAATTTTTTCACAACATTTTTTAATATAAAGTTTCAGCACATCTGAAAGTATTTCTCCTGCTTTGATCTTTGCATGTTGCAAGAGTATATGTGTAGCAATTAAAAGACCGGATGGGACCTATACGTCCAGCGCGGAAGAAAGAGCCACGACCCTTCTACGTGCGCACTTCCCAGAAACAATTCGAGAGGACCTAATTCGACCAAGAGTCGAACGAAAGCCAACTCGCCTAGATTGGACAGCCGCAAAACAGCTCTTCACGGCGGACTCCATTAGGTGGGCTGTGGCCTCTTTCGAAAAATATAAGTCTCCGGGTGCGGATGGCATCCTTCCAGCCTTCATGCAACAGGGGGGGCAGGTCCTCCTGCCCCACCTTGTTCGGCTGATGAGGGATAGCCTGGCGCTGGCGTATATCCCGGAACCCTGGCGCACTGCAAAGGTGATCTTCATACCCAAAGTAGGAAGGAAAGACTACTCGTTGGCAAAATCCTTCAGACCAATAAGTCTAACTTCCTTCCTACTGAAAAGCATGGAACAGATCATAGACCACGAAATTAGATCGAAGGTGCTAAAAGCTGCACCGCTACACGCGACGCAGCATGCTTACAGAGCAGGCAGATCAACCAATACTGCTCTGTATCAGCTGACATCAGAGATCCGAAGTTCGTTTGACGGGGGTGAGGTGCTGTTATGCGCCTTCCTTGACATCGAAGGTGCCTTTGACAATACGTCACACGAGAGCGTGTCAAAGGCCCTGGAGAAAAGAGGTGTGG